CTTTACCATCCACTTACCAGCATATATTCCCATGATAAAACGGGAAATGATGATTGCTTCAAAGGTTTTTGCTAGCTCTGAGGTCCCCATGAGGATTGCAGCAGAGATGGAGAAGAGGTTATTTATCAGCAAAGTGCCCTTTCTGCAAAGTAACAGGAAAGGAGACATTCAGCTTGGTTTTTCTAAGGCCCCCGGGGTGCAATGCTGTCCCAAACCCCAATGACTCATCATCCCAAAGACTGATGAAAGGGAAAGTGCCAATTGTCCCATTTTTCCTGCAGGGAATGAAGGCTTCCAGAAAGAACTGAAGTTTCTCAGGAACCCTGAGCAGCAGGAGCTGGGCCTGATCTCAGCCCAGCACTTCCACCAGTGCTCTCTGGCTGGCTCAGTGCCCAGCACACAGCCTGGCCTTGGCCATCCTGAAACCATATAAATTCCTGACAACACGTGTAGCTGAGCCCAGCAACTCATCCTCATCCCAAGTGCTTTACTGCCAAGGTGTGTGTGGGAAATTCATCCTCCCAGCTGGAGTGACCAGGGAGACAAGTCTTATCTGAGCCCCGGGGTGAGGGATCTCAGGCACGGCTGTCACGTACCTGCCACAATTGTTGACCATAGGATACACCAGCAGGGACCCAAAAAAGCCACCCAGAGGGAACATGGACACAGTAAGAGACCAGAGCAGTGTCTGGAAGGCACTGTTCATGGGCTTCCCAGTCCTGTCCAAGTAGGTTTGGTTGTAAAAGTCTTGCATGTACTGGAATGAAACACAGAGCACGTTTAGCACAGTCAGGACAGTTTTCGTGCTGTAAAAGCCAAACAGCAACAAATGCCATAAAGCTTTAAATGAATGTCTTGATAAAAAAAACAGAGTGAGTGAGTGGGAGAACAAATACAAATAGAGAAGCCTGGACTAGATAACTGCTACTACAAGTTATCCTGACTTACAGGATGTGCCTGGTTCTCAGAGGGGGAGGCATTTCTCACAGTCCATCTCTCCTGAGCACAAGGAGAGTACAAGCACCTCCCCACAAACCCCTATAGTGAGCTGTTACACTTGTTGGGTTTGTAAACCTGCTCCTAAGTGTTTGCAAACCCACTCCTAAGTCATGGGCCGCTCCACAGCTGCACCTACCGGGGCTGGAGAGTTGATCACAGACACGTTGTAGCCGTACTGGAAAGAAGATCCAAAGGCAGATATCAGAGCCACCAGGGCAAGGGAAATGGTCATTTTCTGTAGAGGGGAAAGAAAACAAACAAACAAACACCGCCTTAGAAGCAGGTCTGGTTCTTAGGCATTAACGACATTCAGTAAAAATAAAGAATTACCTCAAGCCTTGGTTTTCTGTGTTTTTTCCCTTAATTTTACTGCATATGAAAGCCCAGTGGGTTGTTTTCATTACGACTCATTTTGTTCTACTTGATTTGCACATAGTCATTACAGTAATTCACTCTGTGCTTTGCTGGTATTGATGAATCATTTGGATGATTAAATTTTTTTTTTTGAAGCTATCATCCTTAAAGCACTACCCCACAGGGAAAAAAGGTTGTAAGCAATTATTCTTTTCCCCACTTGCAAATTGGGTAAGGAAATAACACAGGATATTGGCGCAGGAAAGCTTTAAAAAGAAGTGATTTTGCATCAGGTGGCAAAATCCCTTTCCTGTTAATTTTTTCCGCCTCCCACATTTTGGGACCAAGCTTTTCACGGATCTAATTGATCGTCACTGAAGCCAATTAGAACTTATCCGAGTAGCTCAGCGAGGGCTTGGTTGTGGGGTACAAGAGCTGCACTTTGCAGTCAAACAGGCGAGTGGAATTGCCATCTGGAGTGGGATCAAACACCATGTTTGTGGGTACACAGTGCTCAGGGCTCCAAACAACTTGCCTTTCACAACAATTTAGTTGCTGTTCAGCCCCCGGGCTGTGTTGACAGAGCTGGGTTGTTGGGTTTTTGTCTGGTTGGTTTTTACAGCTCGCTAATGCATCTCATTGCTGCTACAGCAATAAAGTCATTTTAGGAAAACCTCTGGCACATGCGAGCCTTGTGTTGCGCAAGACTCCACCAAACGCTGCTGTAAAAGGCAGCCCCACCCAGAAAACTAACACTGTAGCCTAAAATTGATTAGACAATACGAAAGAAAACTCACACACAGAAGGGGGAAGTCACACAGAAGTTACAGGGTGGGTGAGCTGCAGACAGAGAGAAAATCACAGCACCCAGTGCAACCCTGCACTGCAGACAGACATAAACAGGGCTCAAGAAATACTCGTCTCTGCCCTCCCTGTGGACGTGCCAGCCCTTCTCCTTTCCCTACAGGCATCCAGAGATTTCCAAGAGCTCGTTCTGTGTCTCTCTGGGAGGCTCAAGCTGGAAGAAGGGAGTCAACATACTCACCCCCTTTGCACCTTCACTTCTGTCTGAGCTCTCCTGCTCCCCTCCTTTCAGCTTCATTTTTGGTGTTTGAATCCCAGATGCAGTTTTTGGAGTGCAGGTTTTTACAGATGGAACAGCCAAGGCAGGGGATGGAAACGCCCCACGCAGAAAATCCCCCTCTGTGACTCTTCCAAACACATCCGATCAACGACAGGCTCTACCAGCTGGAGTAAGTCCTTGTTGCCTGATCATTCCCTTCCTGAACGTTTCTTTTCCTTGCTCGAGCCTGTCGCCGCGGGGGCAGATTTGTGTCACCAGATCCTGTTTCAAACAGAGGTGCTGCCAGTTAACAGGGGAAACAGGCTCATCTCCAGCGGGAAGGGGCAGATTTATTGCAAAAAGTTGCTAAATGAGCCGGTTCATAGACAGGGACGAGGTGAATCTATAGCACAGAGCCGCTGCTCCTTCCCCCCTGCAGCCCATGGACAGCTGTGGATGGCGCAGCTGGAGACGCTGCCCAGCAACTGTGGAATCCCGGGAAAAGCAGGGCATTCTACGGGGAGGGGGGTGCCGGCAACAGAGAGGGTGTTTGCCATCTGCCACAGCAATACAAGTGAACCGCATTAACCCCCCCTGCAGCCACAAACCGCACCTGCCCTTGGCCCCAAACGCTGCTCCTCGTCCTACCTTGCTCAGGCACTTCTGCGGTTCACAGAGGGCAGGTTCATCCTCTCAGGGCTGTGGTTTCCACAGCACACGAGGTTTTTCCACCAGCAGCACTTTACGTTCCTTTCCCTCTGCGTGCAAAAGGTGGCACCACGTGCTGCTGGCTTGGTATGAGCCTCCTGCCTTACGGGACTGCTCTGAACAGTCCAGCACTTGGTTAATAGTCGACTACAATTTATAGAGTTTAGCAGAGAAATGCAAAGTTCACAGATATCTCCAGCAGCTGGAGAAAAACCAGCCTCCTCTTTATTAGTCCATCTATCTTTAACAGTCAGCTCAAAAAAACGCGTCCTCTTGAGCAACAGCTTTTTTCCACGTGTCCTGCATGTGTTCTTTAACTGGCTGGCTTGAGCACCAGCTCTTTTTCCACGTGTCCTGTATATGTGTTCTTTAACTGCTGCAGCCTCCCTTCCTCCAGGTAGAAGGGGCAGAGCCCTGCCACTTTTAGAGTAGTGGAACTTAGACCCCACACTTTTATTTCTCTTTTATTGCTTTTGTTACAAGTGAATGACAATAAGGACACAGCTCTCCGAGATATCTGATGGTGGGTCACACCTTAAGAACCCTCCTGTGTCGCAGCTGCTGAGGTCACAGCTCGCTCAGCAACTGGTGGTGTTCTCACCCTTCACAGATCTTTAGCCAAGAGGGAAAATTCTGCCCCAGGGGTGGGAAAACTGCAGAAAAGGACAATTTTCTTTCACAGAATTACTGTTCTTTAAAGACAGCCTAATTTTGCTGGGAGCTCTTGGAGGAATGACAACTGCTCTGATGTAATTATTATAAGGGAGGAGAATTCTCTATCGTGGTCTTTAAATTCCTTTCCTGAAGAAATAATCTTGACACATACAGAAATTAAAGAAAACATGCAGGTTTGTCATCAGAAATCCTCCCTCAGAGTAAATATTTGCTTAGGGCAGCAGAACAGTTTGAAGATTTACCAAACACAGCAGGAATCTGACAACACCCCTAAGGTGGTAACTGGCGCCGGGATGACCTTGGAAGAGACTGATGAAGGGAGACAGGGTGATGGATGGACTTTCAAAGCAATTGCAGGGGTGTAACACCTTCAGCACTTGAGATCCTGTTGGACTTGGGCACAGGACAGAGCCAGGAAGAAGCAAAGAGCCAATTTTACAAGCATTTTACAATTTCAGCTTCTGCACACGTTGTGCTTCTTGCATCTGCCCTTCACCCCAGAGAGTGTTTGCCTGAAGACATGACCTCTACTCTGGATCTCCTCTGCCCTTGCCCACCATGTGGCAAGAGTTCCCAAGCACTTGTGCAGGGATTTATTTACCCTCAGCCCAATTGTCTGTGCTAAAAGCTGGATCCTATGAAACCCTGATATCTTTAGGGGAGAAAACAAACCAACCAACCAAACAAAAAACAAATTAAGAGGGGAAGCTTAGTTTTCAGGACATGAAATCTGCTGGAGGACTTTAGTGGTGAGCTCTAGAAAAGTGCTGGTTGGGTTCACTGCAATGCCTGCCCTGAGGAGGCTCCTTAGGAGACATCCCACACCAAGAGAGTGACATCAGCAGCCTTTCCACCTGCATTTTGGGAAGGAATTGCATGTTCAGTCAAGGCTCAGTGTCATCTGCAGTCCTGGGCATAACCTGAGGCACTGAGCTACAACTGGGGCCTCAAGGTCAAGCATATTTAAGAAACACATTATTTGCCTGGAAATGAGTCATATGCAGATACTGCTTTATCAGCTGCATAAAAGGCTCCCAGTCAAGTAAGCAAGAGGTAGATATGGCAGCCTGATCCCCCAGGAATAGGAAAGGGGTGCTGGATCCAGGACACTGCAGGGAACAGCAGCAGACATGGGGCTCTGGAATTAAGAAGCAAATGAGACCCTATTTTCTCTGCACAAAGGCAATGCTGGGCAGCGTCCTGGTAAAGAAACAAAACTTTATTTTGTACGAGTTGGAGAAATATTTTAACACCAGGCAAACGAGGAGCTGTAAATAAAGTAAAACATTATCTCCAAATAGTAAACCAAGCAAACCAACCCCCATCCCCTCCCCAGGTCTGATGCAACACTCCCAAAGCAAGAACAGACTGCAGCCTTCAGCAGGGGAGCTCTGGAGCTCAGAGCACTGGCCAGGCACTGCTGGGAGGGCTGTCCTTGCGGGAGGCTCTGGGGAACATCCCTGAGCACCAGGGCACTCTGCAGAGTTCAGATTTCCTCAGGAGGCAGCTCCTGGGCTGCCACCACAATCCCTGATGATGGTGAAGGCCCTCAGCCATCCAGGAGGAGGAATGAACCATCCAGAGGAACCATCCACCACCACCACCACCACCACCAAACAGAGACGTTTGTTTGCACGTTGTTGTCCGTGTTCAAGTGAAGAACAGGAGCCAGCCTGGAGCTCCCGGGAAGACTGACACGCTAGGACTGAAATCCATGCCCAGCACAGTCCTACTCAACAGCTACTGAAGTTTCCCTGTCCCTGTGATATTTGCTCACCTCAGAACTCGCCACACATTCGCCTCGTCAGACAGAAAAGCAAAACCCCAAACCGATTTCTAAGATTTTTAGCGGAGGGTGAGGGGAAGAAGGGAAGGAAACCAGGAAACTGGAGCGCAGTCAAACAGTCTCTTCCAGAGGATCCTGAGCAGAGTTGAAGTCCAAAGCCTTTGGTATGTGAGGGCAAGGAGGAGTGGGACCTTTTCCATCTGCGCAGCCTCTCCAGCGGCGCGTTTCCCGGGCTTTAGCTCCCTCTGTGGGACTCCGGGATGATCCCACACCTGCACAGAACAAAGCACAGTTACAACCCAGGACTGTCCTCCCACCCTGCAGCCTGTGCCCAGAGCCTGGCACAGCCCGTGCCAGGTTTTTCCCCAGCCAGGAGGCTTTGCTGCAGCTCAAGCCCCAGGGATGTCACCTTGGAGCAGCTGGAACAGGCGTGATGGACCCACTCCTAAAACACACCCTGGCACCACAACCTCAGCCACCTCCAGGAACACCTGAGCTGGAATTCTCCAGTCCATGCCTGACAGGGGAGAGTTCAGAGCCATCTCCACACCCAGCTGAGGCACCTGCCCTGCACTCACACCTCACCCAGAGACCGAGGGGCACCTGCCAGGAGCAGCCAGGCACTTCCACACATCACCTCCCCTATCATCCCACCTCCCTTCATATTTAGGCCACCCTCAACCTCAGTGTTAGGACCCACAGGCATTTCTAAGAGGTTCTCTGTTGGCTGTTTTTCTTTCTCTGCCCTTGCTGACACGAGGATGTCAGAGATGTCACAGACTTTTGGTGTTTACAACCCAGCTTGCTTCCCCGAAACCCCTGGAGCTGGGATTGTAATTCTGGTGAGCTGCACATTCCTTCAAAAGCATTTCTCAGAGCTCTGTAATGGAAAAAGGCAAACTGAGAACATGGAATCTGTTTTGATTATTTTTTGTGTCTTGGGTGTTTATGTGTGTGTGTTTTGCTTTGTTTTCCCTTAAGCCAAGCTGGTGACAATTTTATTTTCTCTCTTCAGGGCTGGGTCCAAAAAACAGAACACAGCATAACACTAAGCCTCATAAAATTCAAAAATTACTATCCTGCCTTTCTACAAGAAGTTTAACACAGCTCCTCTTTCCAGGCCTCATGGGACCAACATGAAGTTGAGCTACCCAGGTTGCTATTTAGCTTTCAGAAGTTTAAAAAAGCCTTTTGAAAGGAGGAAAGAAAAAAACCTCTTGAAGTTATATGTGGCAAAGATAAGATGTTTTCATCTACCTTTCAAAGACTCCAGGGATGGTAAGAGCAGAGCCCTTCTACATCCCCTTTAAATGGGCTCTGAGCTCTTGAGGGCTCCACCTCCCCTTGTTTACACAGCCTGGGCACAACGGGGCTTAAATATACTAATATAGTAATAAAGCTAATGCCAAGGCTTCAGGAAATAACAGGGCCTGCCTCTGCCTACAGTCCCCTAAGAGCTCTGGATCATGTAACTGTTGTGCTTGCTGTTAGGGTGACTAAAATAAACTAACAGGAGCAGCTTTGGAGCAGCCGGGTGCCCGGAGCAGCAGCAGCCTGCCAGCTGCCCCTCCTCCCCAGACAGCTCACAAGGCTCCTGTTCTGTTTGCAAAAACCTGGCCTACAAATTGAAAACGTCAACTGATTAAAAATAAAGAGTCCTTTGTGGTTTTTTGGGGCTGTGTGGTTCTGGGAGGAGAAGAAAGAGATGTAGGGAAGAGAGATCCCCTCGGAGCCCCACAGCCCCTTCCCTCCAGGATGCTCATCCCCTGCCATCCCCATGTCCCAGGCAGGTATTTGCCTTTCAGGCTCAGCCCTTTGGATTGAGTGTGACCTGCAGGGAAAAGTACAACTGCAGAAGCACAGATGGTTTCACACCCTTCCTGAAGAGGCAGCACATGCCAGCACATTTATCTGAACAGTCAGGACAGCTGCTCTCTCTCCTGGAGAGAGCTCTATCAATACCTGCTTCACAGACAGAGGCCCACACAGCACCCCAGCCCCAAGTGCTCTGCAATGGACTGTTTGACACCCCTATAAATTCTGCAGCTCTCACTCATGAGGTCAAGCACAAAGGAACCAGGTGCTCACACAACAATGCAAGGACATCAGTGCCCCATCTTGTGCCTGAAATTAAGAGCTTCTGTCGAATTTTTGCTCCTAGAGACTTTCTAGGCAGGCTTGGATGAATCACTTCCCCTCCTTTTCCCTTTCATGGTGACTGGCAGCAGGGATTGTGTTCCCTCATGAGGAAAACTCGGGGCACTAAACATCTGAACTGTGCAGTGCTGATGAAATGTGTGTGCACGTGGTATTTTACATCAAAAAGAGCCACTAATTCCTCTTCTTCAGTTTTCACTGGTGTCCTGTCCTTGAGGGCCAGACAGCCCTGCAGTCTAGTTCCTCATTTTACAGGCTCGAGTAACAGCCACCACCCCAGCTCGGGGGAAAGGGGGGTGGAGCAGTTCTATAAATGGTTTAGGACCTGCAAAGTCAGACAGGGAATCCCCCCACAGCAGCAGCAGCAGCAGCAGAAACCCCCCTCTGCCAGCTGCTCCCTGGTAGCTGTCCCCACCCCTCAGACCATGAAGCACAGGCAAGGCAGGAGGAAAGACTCACACTGGATTTTTTTACCATGAAAGAAGGACTCAGCGCTGAGGTGGAGGCAGCTCAGGTGCTGGAAAGCAGTGGCTTTGTCTGCTCAGGGCCTGGCACGTCCTTGTGGGGTTCTGGGCGCTGCCAGGAGCTGTTTGATCTTTGCCAGGACCAATCCCCCTCGTCGTGTTTGCAGCAGCAGATGAAGGAAAGCAGCCGAGCCCGGACCACCCGAGTGCAGAGCACAAACATGATGCAGTTGGCACCTCCTTGGAACGTGTTACCAATTCCCTGCAAGGGCAAGACAGGAATGAACCAGTGCTGCTCCTCCAGGCACCCCCCAGAGAAGAGAAAACATCGTGTCAGACAGACCAGCTGCATGACAGTCACCAACTTCACCTCAACAAGAAAAACAAATTCAGGAAAATAAAGTGCCTTTTTTTTTTTTTTTCCCCCAGAGAGAGCACCCAAAAGCAGAGCAGAGAGCTGCTGTGGGCTGGCACTGCTGCAGCCTGGTGTAGGGCAGCAGCAGGCTGAGCCCTCCCGAAGGACAGGCACCCAACATTCCTGGTCTGAGCTGCTTCTACAGGCAGCTGGCACTGTCCATCCCTCCCCGCTGCAGCTTTATCCTGCAGCCACTAGATGCTGCTGGAACAGCTGCTGCTGGAATCACTGCCCCTGCTGGAATCACTGCTGTGGCTGAGCATCCCGGGCAGCGCTTGCCAGCAGGGAGCAGGTGTTCTCCCAGCGCAGCATCCTGCCAAAAGAAGGGATATCGAGAGCACCAAAACCTCACCTCCCTCCCGATGCATTTCCTGGCGAATACTCACGTGCAGGACAACCAGGGCTGAGTTTTGCACGGCAGGGGAGTTGCAGAGGGTCAGGATGAACCTCACAGTGCTCCAGATGCGGAGGAAGATGAAGATGACAGGGATGAGAATCAACTTCTTATCCGCTATGGAAGTCCTGGGCTGGAATGCAGGTGCTCCCGAGAGGATGGGGCGGTACTCTGAGAGAGCTGCGTGCTTCCAGGGAGGGGGAGAGAGAGAAAACATCAACAAAAACCTACACACGTTGGACATTCAACTCCAGGGATTCTTTCCAGAGCAAATTAAATCTTTCTGCATCCTGCAGGAATTTAACAAGGGCACAGTTGTGAGCACTGGCCACACTCTGCCTTTGCAGGCAACAAACATTCCTGCTGGAGCCAGGGAGTGGCAAATAAGGGAGGTCCAGCCCTTATCAGAGTCCCACTAAAGCTTTAGACTTGCACACATCACCGGGTAGTTGCCAAGAGACCAGGTCATAAGAATATAAATAAAAACATGGTGCTCCACCAAATAGTTTTGCCGGGGCAGTGCTGCTGGCCAGGACTTTGCAAATGGGGGGCCAAGAATTTAGCCTTGTGAAGGCCTCTTGCCATACATATATATATATATATATAAAAATATATATACACATCTGGAAATATATATATATTATATATTTGTGTAGAACCTGCTGCCTGATTTCTGATCATGTACTGTCAGCAACAGGCTTCTGTAGATTTGGACAAACCTCTCTCTGTACCAGCACATGTAGGGGAAAAAAAAAAAAGAGGATCTGTGCCCTGGATCAGATTAAATCTCTGGAGAGCTGACCTGCAGGAAACTGTTCCTCCTGCCATCAGGGTTACTGAGCACACACAGCTTTGATGCTCAGGGTTCTCCTTCGCTCCAGTCCTGCCAGTCCCGACACCTTGTTCCCAACAGGACAGAGCTGTGTGACCCCACTGCACAGTGGGCTGAGTCCAGTCCCACCGAGGGCTTTCAGTGCAGCTTCCCACCCACCCCCATGCAGTCTTTTCCCTCTGGAAAGCCCTCAGCACACACCTGTGTGTGTCCCCCACAACAGCTACTGCCAGAATTTCTCCTGCCTCTGACTGTGCAGGAGCCACTCCTGCCACACTCCCTTCAGCCAGAACACAGCCCCAAGCCCTGCTCTGGTTGCCTATTGCTCTTCCTTGGAGGTGGGAGGCTCCCTGCCAGTTCAGAAGCTCAGCAAGCAGCTCCAGGCCTGGCAAATTCCCCGGGGATGAGGAGAGGTGCTCTGGTCCAGAAGGCTCCACGAGCTGCTGCTGCAGACCCTCAGACCCCCATGTGAGAGCAGTGACAGCCGCCTGCCCCCAGCACGGGGTCAGGGCTGCAGTGGGGAGGGAGAGCAGAGTTTCCAGGAATCCCTGGCAGAGCAGGAGCAGCAGCCCAGCCTTTTGGGCCGGTCAGGTTTCCAGGAGGTCACACTTCTATCTTTGACAGCGGCTGGGACACGGTGTCCTGTCGGGGTTATGTCAGGTGGTGCTGACAGGCACGAGCAAACCCTTCCCAAATCCCCCTTCCCAGGACACTTAGGGCTGCTTGAAACTACCCTGTTCTTCCAGCTTATCTGCAGGATCCTGCCCTAACCAAATTGGTGTTTATCCCTTACTACAACTGCCACAGCTACACAAGTGCAGTGGCAGCATTTTCCAGAAGGACACCTATCCACACGTGAAAGGGTTTTTTTTAACTCTAATACAACTTAGAGGAAAAAAAGGAATCCCTGGATGCAGTTCCTTCTGCCACTCTCAACCTAGATGTCTCTGTTATGCAAATGCTGTCCCAGATGCCTGGATTCTTTGTGTTCACAAGGAACAGCAACGACTAAAGCTCTGAATTCCAAAACCCTGCCGGGCCAGGGTGTCTCCTGTGCAGTGTTGCCATGTAGTGCCCAGACTCCCAAAAAGTGCTTTATGCTGCCAGTACAAAGCATTCATAAACACAAACTATCCTCACTGATACTGCAAGGACTGAGGTTAGATAAGTCCAGTCTCGGGCTGGGTACAAGTGGAACTGCAGAGCACTGATTAAAGCAGAATTTTGTCCTTCATGTCCTTTTTCAATTCTTACTGTAGGACTGAGCATTTCCCTCATGAACATTCCATAACCCCTGTATGTTCCCAAAAGGCTTTTACATCCCTGTGCTAAGCCACTGTGTGGTGGTGCTGCAGGGGCACTGCTGCTCCCAGGGGTGGGGACATTTCGGTGCTGGGAAGCAATTCCTGCCTGTGCAGCTGCTAAATGTGGCCCAGAAACTGCAGAGCACTGGGAGGGCAGAACCACAGAGCGAGTCTGCAAGCCCAGCTGAACACAGCACAGTACTCACTGCTCTGTTAATGTGCTTCTTGATGAGGATGTAGAGCACTGGCAGGGTCACATAGGCCAGGATCTCCCAAACTTTCCCCGTTAGCAGCATCCACAGGACACGATCCTCGGCGTCCAGGTTGACCCAACACCAGCCCACGGAAACGTTGGAGGCGTCGTAGCCGATCTTCTTCAGAGCCACGGCCGCCACCGTGATGCCGAGGGGGACACCCCAGCTGAGGGGAGAGCACAGAGAGCAAGGTGAAGCCAAGAACATCCTCGGTTTAGTGCCCCCACACCTCAGGGAAACGGGTGGCAGGTCAGGGATTCTCCATCAGCCAGGATGCCAATGTTGTTCCAGACCATCAGGCTGAAGGGAAGGGGCTGACAGTCAGACAGTATATGGATGTGGACTGCAAATCCACTTCCTAAGGACCTGTTATAGGGATTTGGATCCCCAGTCCTGAAGGACAGATGTATAATGATGTGCTAGACTCTGACCTGGCCTGCACAGCACACTCGGGGGGAAGAGGAGACATCCCACCCTCCCACCTCCTCCCCTTCTCCCCTGGATACAGGTGAGGCTGAGGATTTGACAAGTCCAGAGCACTGCACATTGTGACTGTCCTGCAGGGCTCAGCCACCTCACTCAGGGCTTTCAGAACACAAACAACCAAATCCCACACTCTGATTCCAAAGTGACACTTGGCACATAAAGGACCGGCACACAAAGAAATCCACAACTTTGTTCCATCAGTGGTTTGGTTTGCTTTGCTTTTAAGTGGAGGTGTAGGAAATATTTTGGGAGCAAAAGCATAATTTCTGAAGGACAAAGAGCAAGTTTCTTCCCAAGGAAAAGTGCTGGCAGTAACAGCAGAAAGCTAAGAATGCCAAGAGGAGCCACATTCACATAATTTGGAGCTGTGACTTCGGCTTGTCTCTTGACAGCAGAGGCAGATATAAGGAAGCATTTAGAAGAAAAACAACTGTGGTGACACACATGAATTGTCACTCAGCAGCTTGGGCTGCCCACAAGAAGCCACGAGGAAGAAGAGAAAAATTCCATGAGCCCACAGAAACATAAAAATGACACCAGGGCTGAAATAGTGCCCTGCATCCAGCTGAATGCATCTCCTGCCCTTCCCACATCCATCCTCAGGGGAAAACCCTGTGGAGCCTGAAGAGGGACAAGAGACATTCAATAAATGCCATAAATGCTTGAGAGTGCTCAGACTGAGCTCCCAGCACAACCCTCCTGGGCTGCCCAGGTGCAGAGAAAACAAATTCTTGCTCTTGGTACCTTCCTTGTTCACGCTTGTCTTCCACTGACAGCCTGGAGCAGCTGCAGAGAGCATGGAAAGGATCTTCCTCCCAAAAATGGGTTCCACAGGCACCAGACTATGTAGGCAAACAGCAGTTGCCTTGACCAGATTATCTGAAATTCCAACTGAAGAATCAGAGATAATCCCGTGGTATTAGATTTCAAAAAATACCCCATTTCCTACTTTTAAATAATGTCCAGGTTCACCTGCTCACAAACCAAACAAATGCAAATGTAACACTGTAAAAAATGTCAGAGTCAAGCCTTCAGCGTGTTTAGGACACTTTGTTTCAATGTTCAGTTCAGAACAGGCAGTGCTGACCCAAGCCAGTGCTGTTATTTAAGGACAGTGGGGCTGCAGGAAGCCCTCCCCACGCTGTTATCAGAGCAGGCTTTCTAAAAACATCCCAAACGTCACCACCACCACCGTGACACTCTCCACACAATCCAAGACTCGTTTTGGTAAAAATGGTGATTTCTCTGAAAACCACTGCACGTGCCAAGGCATTCCATTTTCAGCTCACTTGGAAGAACTAAGGTAAAGAATTCAAGAGAACTGGCATTTCCTTAGACAAACCACGTTAAGGCACGTAAGTACCAAGAAAAAGGAAGTGAATTGAAAAACTAATTTCTCTAAATAATCATCTCAACAGTGACCTGAAACTGAGAGAGAATCAAGATAAAAGCAGCTCAAATTACTGTGTGTGGATGTAAAACAGCCTAAGTCCACACAGACACAGCCAGAGAAGCCACAGTGGGAAATATCAGACCCCAAGGCAAGAGATTTACAAAAATCTTCAGTATATAAGTGGGAAAAGGACGAGTGTGGAAGAAAACTGCTGCACAGCAGGCAGTTAATTTTCACTGGAATAGCGTGTTGGGATCAGATGGATGTTTATGACCAACACCAAGGACAAAGTGAAGTCGGAAACACCACTTCAAAGTGAAGGCAGAAAGGATCTAGAAAGCAATCAGACATTTCAGTGAACTTCAGCTCCATTTTAGAAAAGTGGAAAGGAGAACTGAGACTGGTGATTTGGTTGTTCTTAAGAACTCCTAAATGACAGTTCACCAGGACTGCAAAACGCCAACGCTTTGCACCCAGCTGGAGGAATGGAGCAACTGAAGAACCAGGAGTCATCACCCAGGGTGATGTAAAGAGTGGAATGAAAGGGATCCAGGATAACAGAGAGGCAGAAATATTCCTCTGAGCCTCCAAGAGCAATTATGTGGGCTGGGCCTCTCCAAAGCACACTTGGATCTAAATACAGTCAGAGTGGGAGAGAAGGGGAAGGTGACAACTCCTTGCATCTCTGTAGGACGGCTGGAGATCCCACCTCTAAGGCAGACAAAACACTTCTTATTCCCCTGATACAGCTCCTGGCAGTGGATTACTAAAAAAACACATAACCCACTGTTATCCTGGCACATCAACACCACAACAAGGCAGGACAAGGACCCCTAAACTCCAGCAGCATTCAGCTTGGTTTGCCCTGATTTTCTTGTCCTCAGTGCGCCTGGGTCAGGTTGTTTAATAACCACATTCTGATTTATGCTGCACAGCTGCTTTTTTTCCCTCCCTAGAGGCTCTTACAAGAGGTGATTTGCTGTCACCTGCCTGCACAGGTCAGACTACAAGCCATCCTGCCAGCAGGCCTGCAGGCAATTCCTTCTGGGGACAGGAATTTATCCTCTGTAGAGAAAGAAAAACCAGTCTTCTGGATATCCCAGCCAATATTCCAGGTAAAGAGCTTGGAGTACACCTTGCAAGCAGAACTCCAGAACAAATCTGCCCTAATTTAAGCCTGCATGAGGCAGCCCAGCAAGGACTGAGATGAACAGCACAGCAGTACATGAAAGGACCCCAAGTACTCCATGGACATGCATGTGTATGTACATATGCATGGTATAAATGTATAGATAAACAAACACACATTTATATGTATATATAAATATAAACAAGACATATATATACTTATAATGATTAAATATTAATTATTAATGCCATAAATAAAGCATATATATGCTTATATGCGTCGCCCGATCACGAAATAAAAATACTTCAAAGCTTGTCAGCAATTGCTGTCAAAAGCCAAGGGTTCTGTCTGTCTGGTCCACTCCTCACCCTGAGTTTGGATCAGCTGCTCTCACAACAGAGATGACATTACCCAACTAGATATTTAGAAATTCAGAACACGAGATACCCTGGTCCTGTACACTCTGGGTGACAGAACTCACATTTTGCAACGGCGTAAATATTTCCAAAGCTGAGTGTAAGCTTGTTTTCAAAGCTCCTCTGAGCTGGGCAAGTTTAAAACCCAAACAGAGGCTGCAGCTCTCCAGCCCAGCAGCAGCAGAGGTGGATGTGTTACCACAGGAATGGTGAGGGACAAACCTGTTTGACAGGTTTGGTCCAGTGTGACATCCTCATTTCCCTCCGGAGACTTTCAGGTACTGACTTCCCAACATGTATTTAGTCAGCTCCACTCAGCTAAAGAGTAAAGTCTCTGGTTACACTCCACATCCACAAAGCACTCATCTTTACAAACACTTGCCCCTTGTGAGCAGCTGCTCCTGAAGAATGGGAAACACGCCTGACAAAACTCCATCCTGCCCTGGATCCCTTCCAAAGGTGTCTCGGAATGACTCTTCACACAGTGGTCGCTGCATGACTGTGCTGGCAAACTACAAAGCAAGGAGGGGGGAAAACAAAAAAATCTCAGGTTCTTCCCTAGACAAAAAAAAAAAAAAAGAAAAAAGAAAAGAAATTTAACTTTCATCACCTGCCTTTGTCACCTTTCTTTTTGCCCTAGACACACTTTTTGCCACACTTACCTCCTGCAGCTAATATACAAAAAGACACATGGGTAGAAGTGGTTCTAATAGATTTTTAGGCTACCAGCACCACAGACCTCCAGTGGAACCCTGAAACACTGGAAAGGGTGAGGGGGAGCCACCTCCAGGCGTTACATCCCGAATTTCACATCACGATTGAGTTCTCAGGTAACCATCAAAGTGCAGGGAAGGGAAGCAGGATGATGTGTCACGAGGGGATGGGCACAGAACAGGTCCTCACTTGTTTTCCTCTGAGTTTTCATAAGCAGAAGCAGCTTTAACCACTGGCTCTGCACGGAGCAGGAGGCATTCACAAAGCAGCACCTGATGACAGGTGCTTTGTGAGTGCTGTCCAGACCCTTTTGACAGAGCAAGTGGTGCTGATCCACGCCAAGGGCAGAAGATGGCATTTTATTTTCGCTGTAAAGAACTGAAAATAAACTTACGAATTCACCCAGAGGGCAGCTCAGTCTGAGCTGTGTCACAAAGCAGAGCAATCTTTCAGGGCTTTTACAGTTTTGAAAGAGTGCACAGATTACAGCCAACCCTATTTCAGTCACTCTGGCTGTTCCTTTCTGCACTTTGTAGTCCACGAGGCTGAGGAGCATTAAACCAGATGGAGAAACAAATACAGGCAAAAGCCACACAAACAATTAGCAGAGAAGAAAATTACAAATAGACCAGATTTGCCTCAACTCTTTGATGTCTCCTGATGGAGCCAGCATGGCCATGAGAAGGAGTCAGACTTCTCTTTTCTGTCCATTAAGCAACTTGTGGCTCTTTACTGGCGCTCCATCCTCTCCACAGCTCTCAGAGCTCTCTATTTGCTTGAGATTAAACAATCTAAAAAACTCCTCCGCTGTCTCACTCCATCTTATTTCAGCTTCACCACCACCAACCTGGTGTTTCCAGACACCTCAGGCTTCCTCACACACAGACCTTGCTGTCAAGCAGCCATTAGAACAGGTAAGGCAGGAATTGAAGTTCCTCCCTGATTCACACTCAGCCTTAAAGTCTTTCTGTGGCACATCCTTACCTGCACTCTAATTAAATCATCTCCCAACTGATGCTGTTTGAAACTAAAAGGTGACAAATATTTGACTAAGAAACCAAAGAAAATTCAGTGTGTGTCCCAATGACTTCCCCCCCGCCTTTTAAACCAGATCATTCTTCTTATAATTTATTGCAAAAGCTTGGCAACAAGGAGGACTAAAGGATCACTGTTTTGCTCAGCGTGGACGTAGCACATGATTCCACAAGCTCCAATTGCATAATGAAAGCTTTTACTGAACATGCTGTGGAGAATCAGCTCCCTAAATAACAGCAACCGAGACATAAAGCTACACTGCGGTCTGGCTCATCTTGCTTTCAATCAAACACGCCAAAACAACCTTCAGAATGCTTTTCTAGCAGCAGCCTCATCACTTGCAGACGACATTCTCCTGTGCTTATTGAATTACAGCAACCTGCCCAGGGAGAGGGGGAAGGATCCAAACACCAGGGAAGTCGGGGACCCGTGGAAACGGATCCCAAACACGGGGGTTTTGGCAACAGCTGGCAGGTATCGCAAACACGAATTTTGGGATATTATTTCCAGGATGTCAGGGCAGAAGCCAGGATTTTTAGAGTCGTTATAACTTGCCAGAGATTTTTCTATGTGACCTTGAGCAAAAACATTTTTAACTTTTCCACATCTCCAGTTCTTCACTTGGGAAGGGGGCGGGGGGTGGGGGGGGGGGGGGAGGGTAACCAGCAGGGTTGGCTGGTTAGAAGACAGCAAAATCCATGTTTAAAAAGAATCTGAGAAGGGGGGACACAGACACTCTCCTTGAGAGAAGCACAGGTGATTCCAGCGGCCATCCAAGCGCTCCATCGCGGCACAGAGCACTGGGGGCTCCTGGCCACGGGGTGGGTGTCGGGGGGTCCCCACCTCCCAGGAGCCGCAGGCAGCACCCACCTCACGGCGTGGAAGCAGCACAGCAAGCCCGTGCCCGTGGGCGAGCCCCTGACGATGGTGAGGTAGAGGTAGAGGGCGATGGCCATGGTCCAGAAGAAGGAGCTGGTGTTGGCGAAGGTGGACAGGGCGCCCTGCAGGACGCAGTCCCAGGAGGTCCTGTCGAAGTCCTGCAGCACCCCGTAGAAGTAGGAGAGCGCCGAGAGCAGGTCGGCCAGCGACAGGTAGAGCAGGAGCTGCCGCGGCCGCGTCCGCAGCTCCGGCCACAGCGCCTGGGAGCAGAGCAGGAGCGAGGAGCCCACGCAGGACAGGACACAGGACACGAGCACCACGGCCCGCTCCGAGCCCAGCAGCTCCGTCGGGGGCAGCGGGGCGGGCATCGCACCGGTCCCGGCAGCGGCGAGGGACGGAGGAGCCGCGGCGGGACGGGAGCGCTCCGCGGGAGCGCCGGGATGGGACGGGACGGGACGGGATGGGGAGGGCAGGAGCGGCAGGAGCCGGGGCCGGCTCGGCAGCGGCGGGACCCGACCCGCCCCCGCCGTCATGTGAGCCCGGCCCGGCCCCCCCGCTCCCCCCTGGATCCCGAGGGAATCCCCGGGGACGGCGCCGGGAGCCGCGCACGGCGGAGCGCTGGGAGCGACGCGGCTGCGGCCCCGCGGCACAGGAAACCCTCCCTTCTCCAAATTAAAAAACCCCGCCGCGACAGGACGGGTCAGAAACAAACGCCTGTTCTACTGTCGTTTCCTTATCTTTACTGTCGACTCCTTACTTTTGCTATCGGGACCTTCTTCCCCCAGGACAGCGCACGGTTCGCCTGCCCCCTTCTGAGCCAGATCTCTCGGTGTTTGCACAGATATACGAACACTCGGGGGCACACTGGAACACGTTCAAACGTCCAGAAAAAAGGTTTATCAGAGCAGCAACACACACCACCGGTGCCTCACCCTCCCCAGGTGACACCAGTGTTACCTCCACCTTCCACATTCCAGCACTAATTCGCAGCATCCCGCTCCATCCCGCAACCTGCGGGGTGGAAAAGACTCAGGAGACACAACAGAGCGTTCACTCCCGCGTTAAACGGATTTTACGGTTCTGTCGATAAGAAAGAGCTTTCCCCCACCCCGCCTCCCCTTCAAAGAACTCACAGGTTGAAAGCATGTCCTTGTTTGCCTGATCCTTCACTGGCCTCCACACAGACAACTCGTGCTTTACACCTCTGATGTAGATGTGCTCCATTTTCAAAGGGCGTTGCTGTCTCAGGTGTCTTCTTCTCTCAGTTTAATCATTTCCCAGCCGTGAAGGATCCCTGCTGAACTCAGTTTTTAACAGGGTTTATTGGGACCTGTAAAACCAGCTGTCCCCACTCAAGCTTCTCCCAGCACCCCAAAGCCACCTAACACACCCCAGAAAACACACCTGATGGAAACACCTTAAAAAAAACCACAAACGATTTCATGTCTTCATGTCACTTTTGGCCACGGTGTCCTTTCAGCTTTACATTCCCATCTTCCAAATCAAGAGTTCTCAACATTTTTAAATCGCTTCTTTCGACCAGTTTTGTATTTAAAACACACCGTTTTACAATCCAGTAACTTTTTCAGGGTAACTAATATTTAATGGAACTCTGCTTTTGCACCATTGAAACTTTACTGGAAAATACATAATTCCACTTCTTAAAAAATAACCCCCCACTCCCCTCAGATGTGTAAGAGGCTTACACATCTTACATGCTTTTCCAGGAGCGGGTTTTTCCACTGCAGCAATTTCTTCTTCCCCTGCTCTGCTGCACAGCTGCACTCAAACCTGCAGCTCCACTGCCTCCTTAAGTTTTTTATTACCTTCATCTGGTTTTGACTTGCAAGTTCAAATCCAATTTTCTAATGAATCCTGGAAGTCCTGGGGGACACATCAGTTTGGCAGGATGAGCCTTCACACCCACTCTGCCAGTTCACAGAGAGCTTCTGGGTAACATCCAGCCCTGCCTGCCTTGGCTTGGGTGCCAGTGCTGAATGAAGCCTTTAGAGCTTTTTATCAGATTGATTTAAATCAGATTTGCCACAGTACAAAAAGGGGGGCACAAGGGTCAGAGAGGGCACAGAGCACCTCACAAATAGACCATCTGACACTTGCCTTCCCTGTGCCACCCAAAGACAATCCTGCTGTTCCAGAGGCACCTCCAGGGACAAGTCACACCAACACCTTTCCAAGAAGCTGCTGGATAGAACTTCAGAGCCTCTTAAAACTCTCTTCACTGAGTCCCCAGCTACATCCAGGCCTGGTGTGCTGCTTCTTGGTCACCTTGGGGCATCAGTCAGTTGTTCTGTTAAAATTCCTTCCTCTGGAAACAAGATTGTCTTTCAACTTACCTTTTTTTGCCCTTTATTACCACTCAGTTAAACTTCAGCCGAGCAGGCTTTCACTTTTAGGAGTTTATTTTGGAGCCTGATGCCCTCTGCATGTTCTTCAGAGGAAAAGGAAGTTGCAGCAACTTGCATTTCCCCTGAACACAGTTTGACACTAATAGCTTTTTTTAACTTATCATTATTCCAGCCTTTCTTTAGCTCCCATCTGACCCACCCAAAAAAACCCACGAGACAAAGCTTTGTCAAGGCTGCATTCCCAGTTGTTGTTCTTACACATTCTTGGCTTCTTCCTTGTTGTTTGGTTTCCCCTTTCCCCAATTTTTATAGCACAAGACACTCCCCTGACTATCACAAACATCCAGACAAACCACATTATCAAACACCCTGGCTTTTGAGTGTTGCTTTTATTTTGGCTGTTGGATGTGGCTCCATAACACGGCTTAATTAGGCCTTGCCAAAGAGTGAATCAAAATAAATCCAGAATTTGCATTTCCCTGGGGCTGTAATTCAGATATTCCCTTCTCTCTTTTGAAAAACAGTTTGTTGGGTCGTCAGATGTTGCAGAAATAATCAAATGTATCTTTGTCTTAGCAATCAGAAATAGGATGGGCAGAGGATTTTCTGCTGGGTCTCCCCCTGTTCTCTAAAATAGGAATATGGTAAGTTTACACACAGTAGCAGGGCACCCACAAAGAGTTTGTGCTTTAAAACTGAGTAATAAAAGGCAAATAACTTCTTACTAAAGATTCCCACCACCTTTCATTTTCTTGGCATCTCCACATCCAAGCCATCCAGCATCTCCGTGGCATTCCTGGCATTTTGACATTGTTACCTTCCAACAGGGAGCAGCTCAGCTGTCTCTGCCCAAACACACGTTCCTACCTTCCCTCCCAAGGAATCTGCAGTTGTCCAGAGAACAGAAATATTTGGAAACTGCCCAAAGACACATGTCAACTCAAAGGCAGCATTGTCTGTAGCTCAGAAGTAGAAAAAAAATCTAAGCAAGTAGCTTGTAATAAAGCAACAGACACAATGAAAAATCTCCTTTGAGAACTTCACTTTCAGATGGTTTTTAAGGCACAGGGAGGTGAAGCAACCTGATCTTTGGTGAAAAGACAAAAAAATCTTTTTTCCTGACTTGAAATTCATCTCACCAGCCACTCAAAGAGCTTTCTGACACACAGGCTACACTCTGCATCTTATGAGGCACTGGTTGAGCTGTAACTGCATAAATTTACCTCCACTGTGAGACAAAATGTACTGACATAACCTTTAAATTTTTATTATATTTTTTTAAACCAGCTTCAACAAGAAGTTTTTGCTCTGCCCCTGCAGCTGGTAGGAAGCTGGGCTGAGACAGTTCCCCATTAACTGGGAACCTGGTCATATGCCTTAGGACTTTTAAGTGATTATTAGGAGCTGAGACCCCACAGCACCCCTGCACATCACAGACAAAGGCCTGCTTTCACAGCACTGGGGAATCTCCTGGATTTAGTGCAGGATCAGTGAGACAGCTTTTATCAGAGATAAAGACACTCCATGGAAAAAGCACGTGAGCAGAAGTTCTGCTCTTGCTCTGTTTTACTCCCCTGAAATGCTCAAAGGCCAACTCTGGGCTCACCAGGGAGAGGAGCCTGAGCTTCTCCTGAACCATCAAGACACCATTTCCCAGCCCAGCCCAGAGCACACACGTGTGAGGAAGAAAAGAGACTTTACACCACTTACAGCTGTTTGTTTCTGGTATTTAAGCCAAGATAGAATCTGAGTTCCCTTCACCACATCCACTTTAAGGCCACAGGTAGGATAACACCCCCTGACTGCAAGTGGCAGCTCCCAGCACCCCCAGCAGCCTCTCTACCCACAAGAGGTCACTGCTGGTCCAGGCAGGAGTGTTTTCTCCCATCACCACTGTCCTGATCTAACAAGCTCTTCATAAAGGCTCTGACACCAACCAGCACATGGACCTTGGTCACCTTTTCCCATCCCTGCCCACAGCTTAGACAGTACTTTCAAGTAGGAGCCTGGAAAAAAATGGGTTGAGTCCAGTTTCACTGCACACACACACACAAAAAGGTAGATGAGTACTGAAATAACCAGAACTCTTTAATGCTTTAGTTTTCAAACCACCACACAGCTCATTCCAACCCAGGAAGCCAATACAGCTGTTTCTTGTACTCATCAGCTTCTCAGGGCTCAGCCTGGGAGCAATTAGACACCCAACTCCCACCCTCCTGAGAGGGATGCAAAGTTAAAGGCACCCTGCACAACCTGCCCCTGACACAGACCCCAGGCAGGGCACTGTGCAGGGGTGAGAACACCTGGCCAAGAGTCAAACCTGAGTCTCTGGAAAGAGGAACCTCACTCTGGAATTGTAAAACGATAAAGGAAAAAAAAAAAAAAAGCCAGCCAACAGTTTTACCAGCACCTGAGCTCTTCATTTCCAGGAGAATGGGACCATTTTTCTAAGTCATCACCTGATCCTTGGGTTCACTGCATCAGCTGAAAGGAAAGCCAGGGAAGCATAGTTGAGAGAAGGCTTCTGAGAGAGGTGAAAATCCTCATGCTTGTCCTTTGTTGCTTTTTCTAGCATGTGACCAAAAAAACCCCCTACATGTCTAGCAGTCCTGGCACAGATTAGGGACCTAATCCTTGACTCCATTAACCCCATCTGTTCCATTTTTGGACAGACACTGACACAGCCAGCTTTTGACACAGCATTGCTGAGAGCCATCGAGGGCTGCTCAAAAAATTCCAGAGTGATCACTCAGGGCCTTCATAACAGCCTCTCATCAGCTGCCCCCTCCAGACAACAGCCTTCCTCACCCAGATTTAGAAGGGCCAAGTAAAAAAACCCATGAGGAAATACATTCCCTACATGTCTACCAAGATCACTAAGCAACAAGTCAGTGGAAAAGGTGCAGACATCACACCCAACCTCAACACCAGCAGCTCCCACTCTCCTCCAGGGACCAGGTGGGTCACACAACAACAGTCACCGTGGGTACAAATCCCACCCA